CTACATTACCCATAATGCATTACTCCATAAACAGGTATGCGTAGTAGTACTTGATCTTTTTTTCCTGGGCACTGAATTAACCAATGAGCAAACAGCGGTATGAATATCTGTGATGCCATTGGCAGAGAGAGGGGGGGGGGGGCGTGTCCTCGTTCAGCAGGTAGTGAAGTGGTCTGAAATGTGGGTCAGTGTCCCAGCAGGAGATTAGTCACCGGATTAATGTGTGTGTGCGCTAAAGGTCTTAACATTACTATAACTGCAGGAATATACAGGTCAACATGCTGCAAGTTAAACACATCTGTCTCTGTGGGGGGGAGGGGCACACTGATTATGCCCCTCCCCCCACACGCCTCACAGTGAACAGAGGGTTGGTTCTGAGGTGACCTCTGCCGCCCCCTGCTGGTCCCTCAGGGATCAACCGCTCTGAGTCTCTGTCGCCCCCTCCTGGAGACCACGTGTAGCACAGCAGACAGTACTCCACATACTACTGTGAGTACTACTACTACCAAACAATACAACTTATTCGTATACGTTGTCACCAATTGCTTCTACAAGAACCACTGCGACCAGAACCAGACAAACCCCATTTAGAACCAGACAATCCAAACAGAACCATCAGCTGTTAACAGGACATTAGTCAATAATGAATAATTAGTTAATCTTAGTAAAACATGTAATGTAGTACCTGTGACCTACTTCTACTACTACTACTTCCTGTTTACAGTTAAAAAGTCATCCTACGTACATCAACTGCAACACACACACAGCGGTTGCTGCTGTTACCGTGGCAACGGGCTGATGAATAATTGAGGGAAGAGAGCGACCGTACAAAGAGGGATTTGGAGAAATGAAAGGGGGTGTTCACACACACACACACACACACACACACACACACACACACGCACACACGCACACACACCACGTCATCGTCACAGATTCCAGCGTTTCAAAATGATCAAAGCAGAGTGAAACACTCTGGATGAAGAAGCAAGATGGCGCCTCGGAACAGCGATCGCTCAGACTCTGTTTGTATGAGTCCAATGTGAGTGGTACAGTTAGTAGTGTGTTAGTGGAGGTAGAGTGCTGAAGAGGTGTGTCTTTAGTCTGAAGATGTGAAGGCTCTCTGTGGTCCTGATGTCTTCAGAGACCTCCTTCCACCATTTAGGAGCAGGACAGCAAGAGTGGAGATCTAGTCGAGTGTTTTGCTCTCAGTGAGGAGGAACAAGCAGTTTATCACATGCAGAGCGGAGAGTGCGGGTCGGGATGTCGGGTTGGACCAGGTCCTGGATGGAAGCTGGACCCCATCCATTCACAGCACTGGTACCTTAGCACCATGTTTAGAACTGGATGAGCCACCGGTACCAGTGAAGAGAGCAGAGGAGTGGAGGAGTGAGGGAGAACTTAGGAAGGTTAAAGACCAGTGGAGCTGCTGCATTCTGGATGAGCTGCAGAGGTGGAATGGAGGTAGCAGGAGACCTGCAGGAGAGAGTCCTAGAGACCTTCAGGTTTCTAGGACCTTCGACAGAGCTCTGTACACTGGAATCACCAGGACCAGCAGAACCACAAGGACCACCAGAACCAACAAAATCACAAGGATCAGTAGAACCACATGGACCAGTAGCACCACCAGGACCACAACAAGGAGCCGAACCACAAGAACCACCAGGGCCAGCAGAATGAGCAGAACCAGCAGTAGCACAGGGACCATCAGCACCACAACTACTAATAGAACCACTAGGACCGGTAGAACCATTGGAACCACCGGGACCAGCAGAACCAGCAGTACCCCCAGGACCAGCAGAGCCACTAGAACCACCAGTTAACCAGTGAGACACGCACATACTTTGGGAACGTACAGAGACTTTGTGTCGTCATGAAGGGCGTTTACCTCTATCCGCGCTACTGCTTCTACTGTTGTTCATTATGGCGCGTTTCCACCGAGCGGTACGGGTCGGGTCGGTACGGTACAGTACGGGTTGGGTCTATTAACCATGACTTGGCGAGTGTTTCCACCGCCAACAGTACCCTTACTTGATGGGCGTGGTGTATTCCAGAAAGTAGTGATGACGTCACGTGATAGGCGTGGTGTATGACGGAAAGTAGATTGACGTCATTCGATCTTGCGAAAACTGAAAGCTAACCGCGAACAACAACGGAGGACGTGCAGCCGATCCTGTTCCTGCTTCTCCACATGTGGCTGTTTGTCACAAGGAGACGACCATCTTTGTTTGAGCAAAGGCTACACGCTGCAAGGAACAACACAGCGCAAATGACGACACTCTTTCAACCAATCAACGCTCTGCAGTGAGTCTAGCTCCGCCCCTTAGTACCAAACAGCTGTGCCAGGTGCCCCAACGGAAGGGAACCCAAAAGGTGGTACGGTTCGGATTTTTGGTACCATTCTCAACTTTGGCAGTGGAGACACAAATAAAAGGGACCCGACCCGACCGACCCTCACCGCTCGGTGGAACCGCGCCATAAAGGTTCCTGTTTATTTGTCTGTTTGCGGAGAACAAACCGCGTACGCGTGAACGATGAAGCCGGTTCTGATCGAGGCTCACTGACATCACACTGTACGTGAGTCACAACAAACTGTGTCAACGCTCAACTCCCACAGTTACACACATGGCTTTGAGTCGCTGTGACATCTCTGCACACGCACACACACGCACACACACACTTGTGATGGCGATAATCACGCGGTTGCACCTTTAATTGGAGGTTGTCAGGTCTGGTGTGACATGAGCAGACGGCTCTGTAATCAACCAGGAGGCCTGTGTGTACTCTGTGTACAAGTACACCTTCTTTTACTGCGGTTGTGTATTCCCGAGCTACGTGAACACACTGAAAACAACGACGTGGATCCTAACAGAGTATTTCAGTTGCTGCTGCCGCTCTCAGTTCAGATACTACGACACTATGAGCTGTTCTTCACTCGCGTTTTGGTTGTCAGGAGAGAAACGGTTGTTCTTTGATTTGAACACGTGAGGAGGGAGGTGCTCTGAATCCCCGACGCCTCCGCGTTAGTCAAAGGTGCTTCACTGAAGAAACACACACACTATTTATGTTACTTAGCTTCTTAAGTTAAACATACTCATAACATGTTGACTAATGAAACATGGGTCGTCGTCTCTTTAAGGGCCAAACAAAAGAAATTTAAATAAAATTGAAAAACATTTTCTTACTCATTGTTACCAGAATCAGGAGATTTAATACCCACACACACGCACACACACACACACACACGCACACACACGCACGCACACGCACGCACACACACACACACACGCACACACACGCACACACACACCCACACACACGCACACACACGCAAACACACACACATACACACTCTTTAATCTGCATCATGTTGAACACCAGCAGTTTTGCAAATGAAGCCCTTATTTAAGGCATTAATTAGCAGCATGTCAACACGTGAATACTGAACTCCTCATGAGCTGATTTATGCACCATGATGCCTCCAGTAATGAGCCGGGGGGAGGAGGAGGAGAGAGGAGGAGAGAGGAGAGGAGAGAGGAGGTGAGAGGAGAGAGGAGGAGAAGAGGAGAGAGGAGGCGAGAGGAGGAGAGAGGAGGAGAGAGGAGGAGAGAGGGGCGGGGCTTCGCCTCCATCACAGGAACATTCGGGGCTTTGTAGGAACTGTACTCACATGGATTGTTTGTAGCTTAGCACACAGCTGCTAACTAACTGCTAACGTCTGGCAGCAGGGTCACATGACCACAGCCGGTTGGTAGCCATAGCGACGTTGTTCGTCAGTTTGATGTTGTTGTTGTTTGTAAACCAGGAAATTCAAAACAGTCAAACAACTCGCTCCAAAACAAACACACGAAAGACGTTTCTTTTGCGCTATTGATTTACTTATTTTTATGATATATAGAAATATTTCTGAAAGTGCTGCAACGAAACCTCTGAGTGACCTGGAGGTTGAGTTGCATTGTGGGTAAAGTAGTGGCAGGTCCTGACAGGAAGAACAAAAAGAGAATATCTAAGTTAAACGGGCAAAAGCAGGTTAAACAAAGCCTGACTAGTGCGTGCGTGTGTGTGTGTCTGTGCGTCTGTGTGCGTCTGTGTGTGTGTGTCTGTGTGTGTGTCTGTGTGTGTGTCTGTGTGTGTGTGTGTGTGTCTCCGGGTCAACCACTCAACCAACCTTAAAATGCCTTCATATAGAATCACACGCTGTGATGAACAATCACACACACAGCTTCAAAAAATGTCTCTAGGCAGCTCCGCTACACAAACAAAGGAATAACGCAGCAATCAGTCAGTTATTAACGCACACACATGCATGTTTATATATATAATTTGGGCCTGATCGCATCAGTGGGACAAAGCGTTATCCGAGACGTGATGGGGTCTCAAGTCGATGCACTTGCATGACTTGTAGTTTCAGAGGTTGTCGCCACATGGGTGCAGGTGGATTACAGCTGATTACATTTAGTGGAATGTAAATAAATAAACAAACAAGCGTGTTGTTTGTACAGTTGCAGTTTTATCAAATACAAAGTTGTCGAAGTGAAACCATCAAGTTGTGTTGCTCTTGGTCCTTTTACCTCCATTCAGCACTTCGGTATTTAACAGCTGGCGTTTGACCACGTCGTTTTATTTTGAAAAGGCCGTTTCAGTCTGGAAACTCCCGCCTCTCATTGTGACGATCAATAATGGCAGAAATTAATCAGCAGATCGATTGACCCCAATAAGTGAGCACAGACCTCGTGAGTGTGTCTCCTCACCGCCGTTTACACCAGAAGAGAACCGGGTCCGACACACCTAGGTGTGTGTGTGTGTGTGTGTGTGTGTGTGTGTGTCCCCGCATGGTACACATTCCTTCCCACAGTCAACACTTCCTACCTTGTTATTACCCACAAACCACCTGGCCGAAGCCTGGATACCTGAGTGTGTGTCTATAATAGACACATGTGGTGACGGGGTCTCCCCCAGCAGCAGGAGAACAAAGCCCCCGCGGCGCCCGTGGGACTCACTCGGTAGGCGGCCGTTGTACTTGCTGGTGTAGTAGTAAACGTCTTCGTAGCCTTCCTGGTAGTCGTCATCCGCCCGGTACCTCCTCCCTCGCCTCCTCCTGCTCAGCAGGCGCAACAGGGCCAGGAACCGCTCCATCGCCCCCCCCCACCACCGCCCGCCGCCACCTCCACCAGCACCGGCTCTCGGGTGGGCCGACCCGGGCCGGGCTAGAGCTAAGAGCTCGCGGCAAAAACCAACAGGCAAGCTAACGGACAGCGTTATTCCACACAGAGAGATCGGGTTTCCTCCTCGCTGCTCTACACAAACACACCTCTGTGTGTCACACACACGCGTTAGCCGCGCGCACACACACACACACACACACACTCACATGCTCTTTGTATTCTCTGCTCTATCTGCAGCCTCGCTCTCCTCCTCTGCTCCCTGCTTCTTTGGGCTGTTGGTGCATCTCGCCGGGTTCGTCCAATCACAGAGCAGCTTTCACACACACACACACACACACGCGCGCGGCAGCACGCCACTCCTCCACCTCAGCACTCCATGGATGTGTGTGTGCACACTGTAAGCGAGCAGTCAGCAGGGAGACGGGGCGAGCTTCCTGCCTTCATTGACTCCTTGCTTCCTTTGTTGCACCCTTCCTTCCTTTGTCAAAATCCTTCCTTCCTTCCTCCTTCTTCTTTCCCTTTTCACTGCTTGTTTCCTTTCCTATCTTCCTCTTCGTTCACACTGTTAATTTCAGTGAGGGGGAGGAGGGCGCGAGACGAGGGATCGAGAGGAAGACAAAGAGAGGAGGATGAAGGGAGAGAGAGAGAAAAGGAGAGAGGTGGGAAGGAAACAGAGATGACTAAGAGGGAAGTAGGAAAGGGGACATACTAGGAGGCTATAGAAACAAAATAAAGGGGACAGGTGAAGAGAGGGGAGGAAACAAGGAGAGGAGGATGAAAGTAAAAAGTAACCGATAAAAAAGAGAAATGTCATTGAATTTGTGTTTTTGCTCCCAAAATAATATGTTTTTGTTTGTTTGTACATCATTTCCGTCAGTGGAAGCTGAACTATTATTCATGACCAGCAGGTTTTCGGGTTCAGCCACAAATGGAATCATCAGAGAGCAGAAATCCAGAATGAAGTTCAGAGTAAACAAACCGATAATGGGAGAGAACCAAAGGTTCCTCTTCATCAATGGTCTCTGACGAACACTCGGGGTCCGTGATGGACGACGAGGGAGCGACCCGGTGGAAGGGAGGAGAACGTCAGAGGCCTTTAATATTTACACAAGAATGAATCTATTATTTACAGAGAGCTGGAGGAGTGAGACCGTGTTTTATTCCTGTTCCCTCGTCTCAAAGTCACTGCGTTCTTGGCTAAATGACTGACCTCAGGTCTGTGTGTTTAACGGAGCTGAAGAGAGGCGCCGTGTGGTCATGTGACCGCGGGACCAGTTCCTCCAGTCTAACGTGAAGTCATCAAACCCTAAGAGGTGTTCTGTGCCTTCAGCTGGTGAAGCGGTTCGTTCACATCGGCGTTACGCCGGAAAACAACCGACGTGGCTCAGAGTTCATTTCAGCGCGTCATGGCAGAGCGGCGAGCGGGCGGAGCTACTCGCCTGATGTGCGTTGAGATTGAGCCATGGTTATAACAACAATAGCGCACAGCAAACCCGTTAACAGGGTAAAACACCACAACAGCAGCTAGGCACGCAAACTATTTGTAACACCAATAATTATACAGGCGTAAAATCACACCGCCGAACTGCATGCTGGGTAAAGCTCACAACAAGAAGTAACTCTGTTGCTACGTGGAAAACACGAGCGACGCAGGAGGAACAACGAGAGACACAACTCGTGTCCAACAGAGGAGCCGACGTGAGTCACGTGAGATCAGAGAACGATGTGTTGCAAAGTCTGTCGGGCCTCTGGTGGCAACACTAGCAGCCGCGACAAGCTAACACGCTAACTAGCTTACTGGCTAACACGCTAACTAGCTTACTGGCTAACGAGCTTACTAGCTAACGGGCTAACGAGCTAAGGAGCTGTTCGGGTAGCCGTCAATACATGAATGTGTTTACGTGAAGAGGCGATCCCGTCAGAAGCCCTGATCACAGAGATCACAGAGGCTCCGCGGGGCCCGTTGGCCGAGGAGATGAGAACCAGGAGAAGCAGAACCACAGGAGGGCCAAGAGCCGGCTCGCCCAACGTTTGGGCCCAAATGGAGTCAAAGACTCCAACAGAATCTGTTGCCAGGATTTGATCAAACACGAGAAGAGCCCAGAGTGGTTTTACATCGAGGCCGTTTGATCCGGTTCTTGCTTCGGTCCAGACGGTGGATGATACACCGACCAGAGGCACATTAGAAGCCTCTGATGGTGTCCTCAGAACATTCTGGTTCTGGCTCGTGGGATCCAACCATCTCCAATCCACCCAGAGCCTTTCATCACGTAGACAAATATTTACATATTTAGCTTTAAATGAATTAAGGATAAATGATAAAATAGAAGAATAACTAACTATAATCTGAAGAATCATTCTCTTTGGGGAGGGTTTTTTTTTCAAGGTGTAAAATGTAAAAAGTCTTCCTTGCGAGGGTGCGCTGGGAACTGAAAGGTTGCTGGTTTGATCCCCGGCTGTCCAAGTGTCCAAGAGCAAGAGACACCCAACTGCTGCACGCTGCTCCCACTGTGTGTGACGCGTCCAATGCAGACAACGATTTCCCCAATCAGTAAAGGTTCTCCTTTAAATAAACAGCTAAGCAACAACAACCAGCCGTGATGTTTCATTGAACTGTGTGATGTTTAAAGGTGTGTGACGCTGAGATCACACCTGCTGTTCCTGAACATCACGCCTCCTTTAGCTTAACGCTGGTTGATCTGCACTGAGAGAAGATTAGTAAAGGAACCATTAGTACTCATCAGGCTGTGCATCTGTACTGCGTTGTTTGGAGTTGGACATGAAGGTCAGTAAAAGAAGCACACTGGTGCTTCTACTGGTTCTATTGGCAGGTTGTTCTCACTGTTGTCAGTATGTGTGCGTCTTTGTGTGTGTGTGTGTTGGCATTTTTCCGTCAGCAGTTCTTTGACAGCAAGGCATCGTGGGATACGAGAAAGCGTCAGAGTTCAATACACATGCATCAAACGTGACGGTCACCGTGCGCCCTGCAGACCAACTGTCACTCACTGTGACTGAGGTCAGAGTTCACAGGTCAGAGTTCACAGGGCGCTTGTGTGTTTCCTGTCTGTTCATGGACGTGTGTGTGTGTGTGTGTGTGCGTTGGCATTTTGTTGTGTTTGATAGAATCAGCCTCAGAGGATTTTGATACGGTGAAAAGGCTGGTGGACAAAATAATGAAGACACCTCTTGTCTCTCTGAGGGGAGTATTTTTAGTTTGTTGCTATTTGGGGACTTTATGCAGATACATCATCAGACACAGTCCCCACATCCAGTCATGGCTCCGCCTCCCTCACCTGTGAGACGCCCCCGAGGGCGCCAAAGACACAAAGGGCGTCACACCGACGGTCGGGCGGTGTGTGTGTGTGTGTGTGTGTGTGTGTGTGTTAGCTGCTAAAAATGACAACTGTAAGCTGATTTGCATATGGCTCTGTAACGTGACTGGACGCCTAGTTGGTGTGTGCGCGTGGAGAATCAGATTATATACACACACACACACACACACACACACACACACACACATACTATCCTCTCACTTCCTCTGCTTGTAAATCGAAAGAAGTGCAGCCTTCAAAGACATTCAGCGCTTTAAAGGCGTCAGAGGTCCTAGTCCTGCGACTACCCCATGAATCATTGAGGCTGGCGGAGAGACAGAGAGACAGACTGTGATTGATGAAGCCTGAGGACAGGGAGACATGAATGTATGGTCCTAATGGAGTGCTGAGTGGCTGACCTTGATCCTAATGGACACACACACACACACACACACACACGGACGGACGGACGGACGGACACACACGGACACACACTGCATTGACCTCCATTCACTCGCCGGAGGCTTGGCCCGACCTGAAGACAAGCCCCGGGGAGACGGGACCAACAGCTGTATTGAGACACAATGTCTGCAGGAGACCCGTCAATGCATCAAATACTGATCAATAAACAGAACTCAGTAACAAACAGTTTGAATTATCAGTTAAATGTGCTGAAAATATGATAGTAAAAAAGACTCAAATTATTCCATTTTATTAACATAATAATAATTCCCAGATCTATATCACAATAATTCCTAATCCATAATTAACCTCAGCCGGGTGCATCGATTGATCGATTAGAAATAAGCTCTGATAGATATTGAAGTTGGTTTTCTGGGTTAATAATAGTGGATTTAATCAAACGACAGGAAAGAATGATTGATGATCAAATGCACCACTAAATAATGATGATTATTATTAAAATGTGTGAGAGACCAGAGCTTGACAGAAGTTACATACATATTTTATTTAAACACCAAAAAAGGTAAAAGATGATTTCTGATTCCTTGAAGGGTAAAGCGTTAAAAGTAATCTGCACGACTGATAAATTGATTAATCAATTAACCGAGAATTCAACAAAAATGCAATTTAATTTATATATATTTACACCAGCGATTTGTGATGAAGGAAATGTGATATTTTTCTGACATTTTCAACTAAAATTCTCAAGAACATCTCCTCTACTCGCCGCTGAAAACCTCAGGACAGTAAAAAATAAATAGTTCTGCTTCAGAACTCAATGTCACCTCGGAGAACACGGAGCAGGAGAACACGAAGCAGGAGAACACGAAGCAGGAGAACACGAAGCAGGAGAACACGGAGGAAGAGAACACGGAGCAGAAGAACACGGAGCAGAAGAACACGGAGGAAGAGAACACGGAGCAGGAGAAACACGGAGCAGTGAAGAGAGAACACGGAGCAGGAGAACACGGAGCAGGAGAACACGGAGCAGGAGAACACGGAGGAAGAGAACACGGAGCAGGAGAACACGGAGAGAGGAGAAACACGGAGCAGGAGAACACAGAGCAGGAGAACACGGGAGGAAGAGAACACGGAGCAGGAGAACACGGAGGAAGAGAACACGGCAGGAGAACACGGAGCAGGAGAACACGGAGCAGGAGACACGGAGCAGGAGAACCACGAAGCAGAAGAACACGGGCAGGAGAACACGGAGGAAGAGAACACGGAGAAGGAGAACACGGAGCAGGAGAACACGGAGCAGGAGAACACGGAGCAGAAGAACACGGAGGAAGAGAACACGGAGCAGGAGAACACGGTAGCAGGAGAACACGGAGCAGGAGAACACGGAGCAGGAGGAACACGGAGGAAGAGAACACGGAGCAGGAGAACACGGGCAGGAGAACACGGAGCAGGAGAACACGGAGGAAGAGAACACGGAGCGGAGAAACGGAGGAAGAGAACACGGAGCAGGAGAACACGGAGCAGGAGAACACGAGCAGGGGAACACGGAGGAAGAGAACA